CCCCTTCAAACCTTGGGCAACCACAACAGAACCTTCAATAGGAGCCTTCGTCAAGCAACCACAAGGAAGGCATCGGCAACCTGCTAGAAAAGCTTTAATAATAACGATCCCTGTATTCAGCCGTTTCACACAAAAGTTCTTACAAGAGTTTTTTTTTCCGCAGTGCATTGTTCTTTGACGCCAACATAAAGCTTTTCGAGGTAGTCCGACATCCTCCAGACATTTCTCCCCTGTGCGCAAGAAAAAAAGGGGACACCCAGGGTCCCAAGGTCACACAAACTGTCCTTCAAGTTATTGATTTAAAGCTCCTTCTGATGACAACCGTTTTTTCCCCCTAAAACAGGTTCTTCCTGGCCAAGAGGCCTTCGATGTAGGGCTCCCGTAAGAAAACGGAGGGCAAAACACAATTCTTCTTCTCTTGCAAATGATGACTTCTTTGGAAGCTTTTGAGGAATTCACATCTGAGAAAATCAGGGGAGGATGACTTTGGCAAGGCCGCACTGGTGGATTGCAAGACGCAAAGGCACAAGAGGGCAAAGCTGGTTTGGTGCAATTAAGGTGGCGTGGAAACTCGAGTTGTAGCAATTTTGCCAGTCCTGGTTTCTTTGAAGTTAAGGCTTCTCAGTGCAACCGACACACTTGGATAGGCTACTGATCTACTCAAACTGATCGTAAATTTGGTGGCGATACAAACAGTAATGTTGGATCATAAAGATGATGTCGAAGAAGATGGAGAAGAGGCCAAGACCAAATTTGGTGGGGTCTCCAAAAATCAGCTTCCATGCATCTGAAAAATAAGAGACAATGAGGGCTTACAAAAACCAGTGGGGTTGACTGACAAGAGACTAATAAATACTTGGAAAAGCATAAATAGATTTTTCCCGTTTATAATTCACAATGGAATGAATGTTTTCTGGTATTTTACTGAAGAATCTGTACAATTTTGTAAGGAAATTGTGCAGCTGGTGACCAAATGGAGTCTAAGAGCCCTGACATGAACTTGTAGTTTTATACAAATACTTGTATTCGACATTTTTGTATAGTCAGGCAAACAGGAGCATCAATAAAAATCTTCACAGCAGGAGCATCCTGAGGTAAATCAACAGAGCAGGAGCATCCTGAGGTAAATCAACACAGCAGGAGCATCCTGAGGTAAATCAACATAGTAGGAGCATCCTGAGGTAAATCTTCACAGCAGGGACATCCTGAGGTAAATCAACACAGCAGGAGCATCCTGAGGTAAATCACAGAGCAAACAGAGCACACAGAAGAAAAAGGCGGGGGGAGGGGAGGGAAACTCCACCTCCAAACCCACAGCAACCAATCATCACAGATTGCCTCACGCAGGAGCCAGCGCTCTCCAATCAACCGCAACTATTGTGTTCTGGCTCACTGCACAACCTCATTGCTCCAGCTACCAAATTTAAATATCTTAACAAATTTTTACTGCTTCCCTGTAGAATTTACAAAGCAAGATTACAAGCATCACCAAACAAGTACAGATTGTCCTGCACTTACAATGGCAATTGAGAACAGAATTTTCATTGTTAAGCAAGGCAGTTGGTTGTTAAGTTACAATGACACTGAAAAAAGTGACCTATAAGTGGAACTCGTGGTTTTAAAAAATAAATATATTTTGCATCTATATACAGCAAACCAGATAGACAGGCAAACAAGGGCATAATGAGGTAAATTGACACAGCAGGAGCATCCTGAGGTAAATCCACAAAGCAGGAGTGATCAAAATTTGGTGGTTGCAGTGTCACGCGATCACCATTTGCAACCTTTCCATCTAGCTTCTAACAAACAAAGTCAATGGGGCAAGCCAGATTCACTTAACAACATGATTCACTTAACAACTGCAGTGATTTGCTTAGCAACGGTGGGAAAAATTGTTGTAAATTTGGCCATGCCTTGCTTAGTAATTTCTGGTCCTGACTGTGGTCATAAGTTAATGCATTATCTTTGCAGTGAATAGGAATTTTAGTGAGCTCTTGATGGGCGCATACACGTAATCCTCAGCTTACAACAGTTCATTTAATGACCGTTTAAAGTTACAATGGCACTGAAAAAAGGGATTTATGACAGTTTTTTCAGAGTTATGACATTTGCAGCATCCCCATGATGTCACGTGATCAAAATTCAGATTGTTAGGAATGTAAGTCACCTAACAGCTGTTTGGGTTGGACAATATATAAACCAGGATAGACATTTTAAAACTGTATCTTTAAGACAATCCTAAAAGTGTAATTGGGTGTGGTTTCTCAAACGGCCATAAGATGGAGCCAGAAACCTGGGTTGTTTCGTCTTAGTCTCAGAAGAGAGTGTGAGTGTATCTCTGTTTCCTTCGGTTGGAGCATATTGCCATTTTTCCTAACTGACTGATATTTCTGGATTTGATGTAAGTCTGTTACTGAACTGTTTTTGACACTGGACTTTGTTATTGAATTATCCCTGGACTAAAAACTGACTGATTTACCTGTGAAGGACTTTGGATTGCTTGTTTGGACTTTGCTTAACATTTCTGGGAGTAAAATCCAACATTTACTGTACAGTGTATCTGTGTGCTGTATGTGTATTATTCAAACACTATTCTCAAATACGTCTCCCTGTATGCGCTCATTCTCCTAACGGGGAATTACCTCAACACAGCTGCTTAGTAATTGGTTCATATTTATGAAGGTTGCAGTGTCCCGGGGTCACGTGATCCCTTTTTGTGACCTTCTGAAAATCAAAGTCCCTGGGTTTGAGTCACTTAACAAATGTGTGACTCATTTTAGCAACTGGAGCGATTCACTTAACAACTGTGGCAAAAAAAAGATGGTCAAATGGGCCAAAACTCAATAATAAAACTTTTGGCCTCAGTTGTGGTCGTACTAGCCCTGCAAAGTACAGGTAAGTCCTCAATTTAAAACTGTTCATGGCCGTTCAAAGTTACAACTGCTCTGAAAATATCATCGTGAGCAGTTTTCTCACCATGGTCACGTGATCCAAATTCAAACAATTGGCAACTGGCTCGTACTTCCTCAACGGAGGAAGCAGACTCACTGAAAAACCGCATTACTAGCTTAAACAACAGCAGTGATTCACTTTAAAAATGGTCGTGGTTAAGAATGTTGGGCTCAATGATGGGCATAAATCGAGGACTGGCTGTATGCCCCCTTCTCTCTGCCTGACCCAACGAGCTGCTCTTACCATTGTTGTAGGATTGTAGAAACATCTGCATGAGGCTGAAGGCACCGCCGGTGAAGTCCAGTAGGACGTTGCCGATGCTCCAGCCCTGAGTGCTCTTCCGGCGAAAGTTTAGGTAGGCCTATGAGGAGACCAGGATGTCAGGTAAGTAGGAAAAGAACACCTCTTCCATAACCAGGACCTCAGACAAGTCAGCCTCTTGTCCTCTTCAATGGCGCACAATGCGTCAGAGAGAAAAGAGCTACGTCCTCCACTTACGACCAGAGAAAGTTCAGAGAAGAGCAACCAGGAGGATGAGGGGACTGGAGGCTAAAACATGCGATCAACGGTTGCAGGAACTGGGCCTGGCTAGTCTGGGAAGAGAAGGACCAGGGGAGGCAGAATAGCATCTTCCAATATTGGAGGGACTGCCCCAGAGAGGAGGAGGAAGGGGTCACGCTATTTTCCAAGGTACCCGAAAGCCAGATAAGGAACAATGGATGGAAACTGATCAAGGAAAGATTCAACCTGGAAATAAGAAGGAATTTTCTGACAGTGAGAAACAATCAACAAATGGAACAGAAGTTGCCTTCAGAAGTTGTGGGAGTTTTATCCCTGGAGGCTTTCAAGAAGAGACTGGACTGCCATCTGTCAGATATGGTGTAGGGTCTCCTGCTTGGGTGGGGGGGTTGGACTAGATGACCTGCAAGTCTGATTATCTGTTATCTGACCACAATTGAGCTCAACATTTCCATTGTTAAGCGAGACGGTTGCTGAGTGAGTTTTGCCTCGTTTTACCATCTTTCTTGCCACCATTAAGTGAATGACTACAGTTGTTAGATTAGCAATAGCTCTTCCTTCCTTCCTTCCTTCCTTCCTTCCTTCCTTCCTTCCTTCCTTCCTTCCTTCCTTCCTTCCTT